TTCTGCTTGATTTTCAGAGATAATTGGACCTGATCTTTTTTTTTCTCTCTTTACTTTATATCTGAGAGAATTCAGGAGAGCTGAGATCATTAGGATCTGCTAGTGAGCCCTGATATTTAGAATAACTTTAAAATTAAACAAAATCCCCAAACAATGAAAGGGTTTATTTAATAAAGAAGGCTTATTAAATATTCAAATATTCACTTACTTGGTGGGTAACAAGAAGATAACCATTGGGTAAGCATTTAGAAGCACACCCTATCTGATTTTAGTGCTATCACTAATCGCTGTCCTATCTGAGTAGAATTAATCATGCATGTTTCATTCTGAGGGTTTCTCTGCTTCAGAGTTCAGTCCTGAAATTGCCCACATATCTTCAGAAATAAAAAGCCAAGAACATAAAAAGTTTAAGGGTATCCAACTTTTCTGTTTGACTGCAGAGATGTTTTGTGAAAGTAGAGACATAGATGAAGAGAATGGACAGAAAGGGCACCTGTACCTGCTGCTTGCACTCTAGTTACCTGAAACAGCTGCAGATTGGTTGGAACCAAAGCTGGTAACCAGGAGCTCGAATCTCAGCTCCCACATGAGTGATGACGTTAGACACCCTTGAAAATGGAGCCAGGCGTTATTTAATCTCCTTTGAGTAGCTTATCAGATTTGGCTTAATGTTCTCAGAGCTATTTAGTGGTGTTGGATAATGCAGATTTCCTTCCCCTTTACAAAGATTTACTTATCACTGTTTTCTGAAAGGCAGATTTACAGAGATGGCTGCAACGGCCCAAGCTGAGCCAATCCGAAGCCAGGAACCAGGAGCTTCCTCCAGGTCTCCCACATGGGTATAGGGGTCTAAGGACCTACGCCATCTTCTGCTGCTTTTCCAGTCCACAAGCAGGGAGCTGGATCAGACATGCAGCAGCTAGGACTAGGACCAGTGCCCATATGGGATGCAGGTGAGTGATAGGCCTGTGGAGCCTCTGCACCGTCCCCTTCCTTTCTTTCAGAGGGTGAATGAGACATTTGTATATAATGCTTTTGAAAAATCAATCCATAAGATTAATGCCTGACCTAGCAGTTAAGACGCTGCATTAAGGCTTCTGTGTTCCTCAGGTTGAAGCTGGTGAAGGAGAGGTGGAAGAAGTACATTCCCATGGGCAAAGCTGGAGAGCACCCTGCAGGAGAAACAGGTGGAGCTGTGTGAAGACAGCAATTACACCCGAGGCCACCCGGATCTACTTTAGGTGGGGCCCTTAGGGTGCCAAGTCAGTACTATTTTCCTTGTGGGGCCAGTGCAATGCACTGGGCTATGAGTTTGCTCCCAGCTTAGCACAATCACAGCTCACTGTTGTCCCTCCAGTCCCACAGCCTTTGTCACACTGTACAAAATGGGGCCTGATGTGGTACTAATGGAGGTTTAAATCCACTGGCTGTTAGGTCTAGGGGCTATCTGGACCTATTTTTGGTGGAACCTGTAGGGACAACAGTGAGCAATTTTATTTACATTTATTAGTTTGATTTGTTCATTTCAAATCTGCAAAGTTGCCTTTATTGACTACTTATATAACATTTAAGTATAATATACATTGTAGAATGAGTGCATCTGGCTAATTATCATGTATTACCTTGCATAGTTATGCTTTTCAGGTGAATGTATTTTGCATCTACTCTGGGCAATTTTTCAAAAACAAAATAAGTTGTTGTCTATATTACCATTCTCCAATGGTTGTAACGAGCAGGACTGGACCAGGCCAAACTAGGAGCCAGGGTTTTCTTTTCAGTCCCCACATGGGTGGCAGAGCCTGAGGCACTTGGGTGACCCGCTTTTCCCAGGTCTTTCAGGAAGCTGCAGCAGAAGAGAAGCAGCCAGGATGTGAATTGGCACCCACTGGGGATGCCAGTAGGTGGTGGCTTTTACCTACCATGCCAGAGTGCTGGTCCATGCATCTATTTCTATCAACTTGTATCTATCAGTTGATTCCTGTTTCTTTCATACTACAGTAATTCTATGGTGTCTTTAGATACTATAATTCCTGGTTTCGAAATCAGTTGTCCTCTTTTTTGTATGATATTTTTGAACAATCTATTATAGATACTTTGCATTTCTTCCAAGTTTTAGAATGAGTCTAGAAGTTGATGGGTGCTGTGGTTACCGGAGAAGGGCTGGCTTTGAGTCAGATCCCACACATCACTGGGGCCTCAGCTGGATCCAAAAGGGGCAGCAGAGATTGGGCTTGTCACCAGGGCAGCAAAGTCCTGATGGAAATAGGTTCACCTGTTGACCGACACAAGCCTCACCTAATAAGGACCGGAGCAGGATCCGCTGGGGCCTCGGTATTAGGAGGGGTTTACAAACTTCATGAGCCCTCTCTCACACGCCTTTCCCGCCCCCCCAGCTCCCCTCTGTCACTTTCTCCATTGTGTGGGAGAAAGGTGAGGCAGAGTTCCCTGAATAAAGGCCTCTTTACATTTTTTCTTTCTATCCTCGGCTGCTGTGTTTCTTCACTGGAGGTTGACGAATTTAACAGAAGTTTCTTTAAAATAACCACAAGTATTTTGATTGGAATCATTTTGAAGATGTGGACCAATATGGGAGACAATTGGTATTGATAATATTGGATTATTGTTCCCAATAAATGTATTTTACTGCTTTTTTTGTTTTGGGACTCAGAAGATCATAACCCCCCAGTGTGACCCCTTGGCTCACTGAGTATTTTGAATTGCAGTGAACTTGAATAACTGCAGAACTAGAACAATCACCCTGATCCTTTACCTTCTCCCTGAAACAAATTATAACAAAATGCTCCCAGGGACTGGCATTAGGGCACAACAGACTAGGCCACCATTTTGTGATGCCAGCAGGCGGTGTCACAGTGCTGGATCTAGTCACAGCTGCTCTGCTTCCCATCCAGGCCCTGCTGACGCACCTGAGAAAGCAGTACAAACAGTGGATGATGATGGCAGAAGCGCTTGTGTCCTGGCCACCCATGCAGGAGATCTAGATGGAATTCCGGGCTCCACACTCCTGACTGCAGGCTGGCATCGGCCGAGGAGCAAACCAGCACATGATCACTTTCTCAGTCTCTCCCTTATTCTCCATCACTCTGCTTTTAAAACAAATAAGTAATTAAACCTTTTTTTTTTAAGTTCAGCTTGGCTCTTCTGGAAGAAGGTCAGAAGGCCCTCATTCTAGAGGAATCCTTTCCTAAACTCTGGGAGCACGGATAATCTGAAAGGGAGCCTGGGGAAATCCCTTCTCAGTTTATCGCCTTAAAGGCAGGGCTTGTGGTTCTCCACTCACAGTTCTGCATAACTGCTTAACATTTACACAGTTTCCTGAGATCAATCTTTCTAGCTTTCACATAGGAGTGCGAACATGTGGCATTTGTCTTTTTAAGCCTGGCTCGATTTGCTTAATGTTCACAAGTTGCATGCTGCTATAAAAGAGGATTTCATTTTCTTGGGGCTGCATAAATTCTGGTGTGCAGATTGACTCATTTTCCTCATCCAGTCGTTGATGGACGCCTCGATTGATGCCGTATCTTGCTTATGGTGAATAATGCTGCAGTAAGCATGGAGGGCACCTGTTTGTTTGATGCATTGATTTTACTTCTTTTAGACATGTACCCAGTAGGTGGAAGGCTGGATCACGCAGTGGTGTTAATTTTAGCCTCTTGCGCAGTCTGCCTGCTGTTTTCCGTAATGGCTGGACTCATTTACATTCTCAGCAATAGTGTGTAAATGCTCCCCTTTCACCACATCTTCAGGAACATTCCTTTTTTAAAAAACAATCGTGATGATGGCCTATCTTAATGGGATGAGTTGATATCTCATTTTTATTTTGATTTGCATTTCTCTGAAACACTAATGATATTGGACATCTTTATATATATACATATATATATTTACTGTTTATATATCTTCTTTTGAGAAATGTCCATTTAGATCATTTATCCATTATAAAATCTAATTTTTGTTGATTTTAAAAAATTCTTTGTGCATTCTAGATATTAATCTTGTCCAGTGTGCAAATCTTTTCTCCCTCAAGTTATCGCTTCCTTCTGTGAATTTTTTTCTTCTGCTGTACAGAACTGCTTAATTTAATATAGTTCAATTTGTCATTGATGCTTTTGGAGTCTTATCCAAAATATTCTTGTCTATACTGGAGTCTTTTCCATGTTTTCCCCCCAGGATTTACATAGTTTTTCAATTGGATCTTCGATCAGTTTGGATTGATTTTGTTCATAGTGAGATATGTTCATTATATGAATACCTAGCTTTCTCAGCCTCATTTTCTAAAGAGGCTATTCTTTCTCTGATGTGTGGTTTTTGGCATCTTTGCTGAAAATCAATTTGCTGTAGATTCATGAATTCAGAAAGTGGTGGTGAGGATACAGTAAGGTTATATACTGGACACCTCAGTACCAGCAAATGGAAGGGATAACTGAAGGCAGGGATTCTAGAACCATTCCCCCACAGATGTCAAGGGGTGTGGACTGTATCCGGAAACCTCCACTTCAATGCAATTCTGGCAAATGAATTATCACAGGGTGAGAATTATCTTCCAATAAATCTTGCTAAATTAGGACATCAAAATCAACTGTCTTTACACATTTGAGGCCAATATTTATCTCATTTTTAAAATGACTTCCCTATATCACAAGCACATAAGTATTTCTGATGTCTGTCATGACTCCTTTTAATTTTGCTTCATTTTAAAATATGCTATTTGTTTATTTGAGATGCAGAAAGGCATGATGAAAGAGACACATAGACACACATAAAGATTGCCCATCCATTGGCTCACTTCCCAAATGCTCACAAAACTTGGAGATAAAAATTCATTCTGGATCTCCCACATTCGTGGCAAGAAACTAGTCTCTTAAGTCCTCGCCACCGCCTGGGAAGGAAGCTGGAATCAAGGGTGGAGGTGAATGCTGAACCTAGGAATCTAACTACTAGGCCAAGTGCTCACTGTGTGTGTTGTCTTCTTTTTGATAAAGGCTTATGTCCCTCGGACTCCACAATGCCACCACTCATGAATCTGAGATTCTCCATGACCCAGTCAAGCTGCCCGGGCTCTGCTTCACTACCAATACTAACTTCCTGCTGAAAGCTGTGTCTAAGGGTAAGCGACCCCAAAACTGCATCCCAGCCACACATGGGCTCCCACAGAGTAATCCCATCTCTGCTCAGGCTTCTCTCTCTGCATTTGTTAAGAATACAACACTACACCTTTTCTATTTTCCCTCCCCCTTCAGGGTTGAGCTGCACTGTCAATCTTAACTTGTCCATCAGAATTGGTTGTCAAGCACCCAGGGGTCCGCATCACTCAGTAATCTGAGTCCTGGTCTGACTCAGGACTTACAGTTTCAACTTCCTGTGGTTTGTACACTACAATCAATGGATACTTTCACCACTTGCAATCCCTGGAAGACTCAGACCGACTCATATTTATGTCCTGTTTCATAAGTTGACCATTTCCTCTTGTCACCCTTCAGATAGAGGATTAAGACAGAAGTGCCAACACACCAAAAATTACTACTTTTCCTAAGTATTTTGGGGTATTTTGAGCATCTGGGACTTACCCAACTAAATGATTAATGGAAAACAGTTTTAAGATCTACTGAGTGTAATTATTATAAGGATTTTTATTTATGCAAGATAAAGCAATCCTCCAATCATACCAATGCAGTTGTCACCACCATGTGGGGCGGATGAGTAATACTTATACTAAAACTTTGAATCACTTTATGAGAAAGCACGTTACCAGGCAACAGAGAACAATGATTTTTTTTAATGTTAAAATTTTTGTGGGTGTGGCGGGATAACTTAGTAACTAAATTTTACCTTGCGTGCAGTGGGATCCCATACGGACGCTGGTTTGTGTCCCAGCTGCTCCACTTCTCATCCAGCTCCCTGCCTGTGGCCTGAGAAAGCAGTCAAGGACGGCCCAAAGCTTTGGGACCCTGCACCCATGTGGGAGACCCAGAAGAAGCTCCTAGCTCCTGGCTTTGTATTGGCTCAGCTCTGGCCATTGTGGACACTTGGGAAGTGAACCAGCAGATAGAAGATCTTTGTCTCTGCATATCTGCCTTTCCAATATATATAAAAAAATCTTTTAAAAATTTTCGTCTAATTTTTTAATATTGTTTACATAGTTGAGAGGAATGGCCGTCCCGGTCAGGGTGGGGAGGGTCAGGTATGGAGGAAGGGGGTGGTGGGACAGTTTCAGCTTTCTCCTTCTTTTTCTTCTGTGTCTGCTATTGGGGAAGGCATAGAGGCTGCTCCTTGCTGTCAAGCTGCATCAGTACCCAAGGATGGGGGAAGGGTATTCAATGTGCCTTGGAGACCCTGGTGTGGGGAAGAGTGCTCTGAGGGTGTTACTTGAGTGGTTTTGATAGTTCTTGGACATTGGCTTCATGACACCAAGGCTGAGAACATCTTTCCAAGGTCTTTTGGTTGAACAAGTCCACCTTAGTGCATCCACAGTCCCAGACACTTGTTGCAAAGCTTGGCCAGGAGAAGGATTCAACTTGTTTCTGCTTTCCATCCTCTGAGGAGGCACTTGACATCCTCTGCTGACCTAGATAAGCTGGCCGTCATGTCCCCCTTCTAGGCATACTGTTTACTGCACTGGCATCAGCATCTTGGGAGGCCCAGTCCTGATACGTGTCCTCCAAGGCAAGACCACATATCTTGTGATTTTCCCTGTGGCCAGGGTCTGAGTGCCCCAAGAGACTTGACTATTCCATGCTCCATCCAGATATGGTCAAGTTTGGTTTGTCAGCTGCATCTATCAACACACATACCAGTGGACGAGTGCTGTGGCCCAGCCCAACCCATCCAGTCACAGGCCCAGTCCTAACATATACAAGCAGGTGCCACAGCCTAGATTGGGTGACCCCATTAATTCCAATAGGTCTGCCTCCAGCCCCAGTTTTTGGTTATGCTGGCATGCTCTGCAATCAAATGAGTATTATTTAATATAGTTATCATTTGGCAGACTTCAAGGTATTTAAGGAGAGTCCTCAATCCCTAAAGAACTAGAAAAACAATATTTAGAAAAGGTTCCCAGAAATTCCAGCAATCTGATTAGGTCAGCATTCTTCAAAGTCTGTGTTTTTAAGCAGACAGTCAAAGCTGAAAGGCCTTGAGCATTTCTGTATGGCTTCACACTAGGTACCAATACAGAAATGTGCTTAAAACAATGTTTCCCCAGCAAAAGGTACGAGCAACTGAGTGCACTGGCCCCCTTGGGGGAAGGAGGCTCGGCAGGTCTCTGGGACCACCCCATCCTGGAGGCCAGGTTTTTTGATCTGCAGGGGTGCCTGTAGCTGGGAGGACTGGGCAGCAAAGGTGCAGGGCGAAGCCCCTTGGGCTGCCCAGGGGCAAACCTCCATGGTTAGAGCGTCATGGTTTAATTTTGGATGATGGGATCGCACAGGTGACAGTGGGAGAGGACCTTTGTTTTTTTATGCCCAAGTTAGTAATCTCAGCTGAGGGACTTCATTGATAAGTCCACGACATCTTATATATGGAGGGGACCCACACCAGAGTGGTTTGGGGGTGAGAACAAGAGTAAGAGAAGTTGGTCTATTAGCAGAAGCTGTGGGGGCAATGTAGGCTTGCCCTGGTGGAACTGCAATCTCTGCTGGCTCCTCTTGGAACTGAGGATGGTGTCTGGCCTACTGGGGAGTTAAGGGGCACCCCAAATGGGTTGGTGTTCCCACTGGTGAGAGTAGGATTAGGTGCAGCAGGCGTGAGTGTACATGGCTACTGACTGCACCAGCAAGCATGTGCACTGGAGCGATAGAGCGACAGATTGGGGTTGACTCCCGCCCCCACTGGTTCTCATGAGAGCCATTTTGGGTGTAGAACTGTCCAGACCAGGTCTTGACTCCTGCTGAACTATGTGAAAGCTGTGTCTGGGTGTGTACCAGGTAATGCTGGGCTACAACAACCAACAACAAGAACCACAATGGTTGTGGCCAGTTGGGCAAGGCCACTGTTCTCATCAGGACAGGAGGCGGACAAAGTCAGCCTGGGCCAACGGCCCACTGGTGTGCACAAGAACTGCCATAGGGAGGAGACTCGATGGAGGCGCTTGGGAAACTCCTTCATTGGGACATATACCCTGCAGGAGAGTGCAAGAAGCAAGGCAAGGAGCAGCCCAGACCCTGCCAGGCTGCAGTACCTGCCGCATACATGTGGGTCAGGTCTGGGGACAGACTAATCTGGGCTAGCACATAACACTCACTGGTAGATCTGAGGACCAGTGTAGGGGTCAGCAGGAGCCAGGTTGGGCCACAAGACCAGCCAGTTCACATTAGGACCAGGACAGGGCCGGGACAGGCTTCAGTGTCCACCAGCAGGAGCAGGAGCTGGAACAGGGGGGCAGACTAGACTAGGCCAGGCTGTACAAGAAGACTGCAGAAGCTCAAGTGAGGCGAGTCATGGCAGCCTGGGCCCAGCGGGGGCCAGGTACATGAATCCCAGGGACAGGGAGTCTGATATGGTTGGGTAGCTTGGCTCATGTCATGGGATCCACATGTATGGTGGAGGATGGGTTCCTGAGCTCCATGGGGCCCACCTCCTAGGTGGATGTTGGCTCCGTGAACCCTGGGGTGGGGAATCTGACAAAGCCTAGGTCTCCTGGTCCAGGTCTCAGGGTTGACATAATAGGTGGGTGTTGGGTTCCTGAACCCACAGAATGGGTGAGGGATCTGGTGATGCTTGAGACATCTGGCCCAGCTTTTTGGACTCGCCTGCAAGAACATGCTCTACCTAATGAAAAAGGTGGAGCAGTGTACACAGGCCCTGATGTAAAATGAGATTAAGACAGCACATTTACTGCTGTAGCAGAGGAACAACTAACTGGACAACAACCCCAAACAAATGAAGACAGCAAATAATCTCGGTGAATGGAGCCCATGGACATTGGGAAGGTGACGTCATCCTTGGATCAATGAAATCTGCAGCATTTCAGAACTATCCAAACCACTTGGACAGAACCCTCGGAATATGTACACAGTGAGACTCTGGGTTATTTGAGGTGGCGGTTCCTTATGCCTGGGTACTGGGACGTGTGGAAATTCATGAGTGGTATTCCCCTATATTCTCCCCTTCCCCCAGGAGCAAGAAATGGCAAATTTGGAAGTAACAGATTCACCCAACTTTCCCTAAACCTTGATCCTTCCCACCCTGATCAACCATGTAATAATTATTTTTAAAGATAAAATTAAAACAAACAAACAAACAAAACAAAACAAGAAACACAGTGTTTTTCAAGAGGAGAACATGTAATCTACTGCTCCATGGCTCACTGCCTCAGGAGATTCGGGCATTGGCGTATCATTGGTGCTCTTTGCAGGTGCAATTTTAAGGCAGAGGTAGGAACATGAGGCAAATTCTGGAGCAGTGAATGTTAGGGTATGAATAACGGGTGCTTGAAAAACCTGGATACAAAGAAATATCAGGAGAGACAGAGATGGTGCCAAGGCACAGAGTCAAGGGCAATGTCTGGGGTTGGAGCAGGGATAAGCTGGGGCTCAAGGAGAGCAGAATAAGGAGAAAGGTTGATGGAGCAGTGTCTTGGCAGGGGGGAGAGAAGAATGAGGTGTGAGTTTAGGAAACTGCCTTTGTGAAGGGAGGGCATATCTTTTCTGGAAATTCCTGCAAGCTAGAGGCCATAGTGCTTGGGAGGCACATCACAGAGCTATTGCTTATGGGCGGCCCTCAGGGTTCCTGCCTTCTGTGTCTGGGGTTCTTCGTCTGAGGATTCAACCAACAGTGGATCAAAACCACTGCTGGGGTTGGACTTTAGGCATGGCAGTTGGGATGCTGCTTAGGATGCCTGCATCTCATCTGAGGAGTGCCTTGGTTCAAATGCTGGCTTTGCTGCTGATTCCAGCTTCCTGCTAAATGCTTGTTCTTGGGAGCCACAGGCGATGGCTTAGCTGCTTGGGTCCTGCAGGTGAGACTCAGACTGAGTTCTTGGCTCCTGGTTTTGAACAGTAGAATGTACAACAATTTACAGAGAATTAGACTGCATTGGGCATCATTCATAACCTAGAGATGATTTAAAGTGTAAGGAAGGTGTGTTGCGGGTTCCACGCAAATACCATTTTGAGTAAGTGATT